TTAATTTACGTATGCCATTCAGTACAACTTGCACATTTAAACTTTGTCTAGTCAAATTCCTACCTCAGTTTTATTTGCATTGATTAATTTGTTTCATTAAGTACAATATGCAGTATACATTGTTGATACTATGGTACGCATATGGTGTTATCACGCATAAACAAAGTGATAAATTAGCAACAATCCATGGAGGATAAAATGTCATGCGTACGACAGAGATGGTGCTGTTTGCACCTTTTCCCAAGACCTCAAATTTCTACCTGCCAGCGTATCTATATATATCATCTTTGTTCATAACTTGTATTTTATCTTTTCAAATAACAAGTTGAGGTGTGATGTTTTTTTTTCAACATTATTTCAGATTGCATGGAGTAATCGAATGTGATACAGGGTGTCCCACGAAACATGACATTTAATAAATAGTTATTTCTAGTTGAGCAAACCTTTTGCTTAATTATATTTTACTTTGAAATCAATTTTATTATAACATCTTTTTATCTTTGTTATCAAACATTTGAACAAATAATGAAAAAAGACATTCTAAACTATTCAGTCACTGTCATGTTTCGTGGGTATTTAAAAAGTTTCAATGACTTAAAAATTTCATATTTTTCTTCAGATTTTAGAGTAAGGACAAAATTATCTTCAAAAAATAGGATTATTATTACTATGATATTTCATTTCTTTTTATCATTTTAATGTATGAGTTCCCCACGAAAATATAAAGAGAATCAGAGCATGAATAAATCTGTTAAAATTTTTTGGGGGCTTCTCTTTAGCGAGGTTTTCCCTAAAAAAAATGCCAATTTTAAGTAACTATATTTTAAGTAACTATATTTTAAGTAACTATATTTAAGTAACTATATTTTAAGTAACTATATTTTAAGTAACTATATTTAAGTAACTATATTTTAAGTAACTATATTTTAAGTATTTAAGTAACTATATTTTAAGTAACTATATTTCTCAAAAATTCTTTTAAAAAATACCAGTATCGCATTCCTCAAAGTTTTTCTAATTTTTGATTTAAATAGTTTTGACAAATCAGCACGGCCCACGTAGTGTCTGAACAAGTCTTGATTCTTGGTTTAAGAAAGAACTTCACCGGGAAAAACCAGAAAAACTTTGAATGTTAGGACGACTTTTGGACTCGAAAGTATTATTGCTTTAATTAGCCCAATAATCAATCATTCGGCACAGCAAAAAAACGGTGTAGAAAGATCTTTATCACTTTGTCACTCAGTGATTTTTTTTGTAACAACATTAAAGACACTTAAGATTTGCGCTGAAGTCGTCTTTCTTTTCCACAGTTTTCTGGTTCTCACTATATTAGGATCAGAATTGATATTTGTAAGTTTACCAACCTAAACCACGTCCATTAAATATCTTAAAAAGGGTTTTTGTAATTCGAAGAATTAAAGGCCAGTTTTACAATGCCGAATGAAAAACGGGATTAACTATCAAATATCAATTATTAATATTATCATATTAATAGAACTTGTCGAGCAAACTTCCTCTCCAGTCTCTATTCTGTTTTGTTGTCTTGTCCACAGTAGTTCAATTTAAAGTTGTTAAGATGAGAAAACTTGAATATATTATAGTCTAGAATACTGTAAAGTTGGAACCACCGCAGCTAGAGAATAGTAGAGAAATTCTACAAAAGAATAGACTGCTTCGTCGTAAATAGTTTACTTACTAACTTGTATTTTGTAAAAAAGAAATCAAACCATGAATACAAAAATCTTCATCATTGTATTGATAATTTTCGCCGACCACAGGATTATAAGAAAAAAATACATTTTGCTTTTCTAGCCTATCATCATGCAGTATCGACGTTTTTTTTTGTTAAAAACAAATACTCAGAGGCGATATTGGAAAATTTAGAAGCGGGGAGCTAGGGAAAATGATTTTGGTTTTATATTTTAGTTAATTATGGTTCATTGTCTCCAGAGAGGGACTCAGCCCCCCCCCCCCTGGACCAGTGAAACTAAGGATTTCACTGGTTTTTAGGCCCCAACGGATGCCAAGCTTTCCTGTAAAGAAAATTTTTTTAAGCCCCCCCCTGGACAAATTCCTGAATACGCCTCTGATTGTCTGATTTTGACCTGTGAGTAATCCATCTCCAGTTGTTCCAATGGAATTGTCTGATTTCAAAAAAGAACTGTCTCATTTTCCCATGTCAAAGTGACATGAGACATTATGATGTTTAGTAATACCTTGTAAAGAATATATGGCACACGTGACACAGGTCTGCCGCTTTAGAAATTATAAATTGGCCGTACAGTCCAGACTGGGACCGAAAAAGTTGGTCCAGCTGGGATATTGAAATTTACACCGGTTGTGATGAATAGTTAAAAGCAGAAATATTTGTATTTGTTTATCAAAAACTAGTTTGGGAACCCAGCTTTGCCTTAAAACAAAGTTTTCTTCATAAGAGTCAACCTGTTCAACTAATAATTTTATACATAGCTAAGAAAATTTCCGTGGTTCTACAGAGTTCCCCAATCAAAATTTGAGGCAAATCGGTTAAGGAGTTTTTGAGATATAATTTGACAAACAAACAGACCGAACATTGTTTCGTACGTGTTTCTGAAGATTTAGTAAAATAAAAAAATTTGCAGTGCTCGGCCCGCGGAGAAAGATTGGATTAGTCCAAGATAGACCACAGTTACATAAACTTATGTTGCATATGCTCTGGAATATATTCCATTTCTCATTTTCTCTTTCAGATTCTTGCAATGGTTTGATTTAGATTAACCCATAAGTTTTCCATCTATTAGAACGTCAGCTAAGGTAAAGTGTAAAATGTGAGTGTAATTCGTAACCATTTCGTTCATTTCAGTTTTGATCCTACAACGTGAATTCCAGAGAGAATGGTTGATTTTCTTTGAGCGGTTTTTCACGGGATACAAGATTCGGTACCCGAAAGTTGGATTACAGGTACAGGGTTTCGTTCATTTAGTTTATGGTCATGTTATGTCGTTAGACGACGAAATAAAAACAATACATATGTTTTATATACTTTATATTTTGCGACTTGAAACTTGTTTTACATTTGATTGTTTTACAATTATTTATGATTATAAATGATGTTTATTGAACAAAATAATAGATTATTTTTGAAAGAGTCAAGTTTGAATCATAATGGTAACAATTTCACCTTTACAAAAATGTTAACATTTGAATAAAAATACTTTTTTATGAAACTTTATCATATATGCTCAGTTCAGGTTCAATTTCATTTTAGCAGGTTTATAAAGTAATCCTCGTGCAATTTTGTTAAATGAGCTGTAAATTACAGCACAGTGTTATAAAGTCAAATTGTTTTCCGGGACCAAATATAATGGATTTGAGCCAGGTCGCTGAACAACATACTGTCGATTCAATACTTATCTTGGTGCTGCATTGTTGTTATCAACTATAGGACATGGACAACTCCTTAATCACATTTTCAAGCTATGTTGTTGAACCGTCACAAGATCTGGATCAAATTCATTAAATCCGGTCCCCGATTTTCTTTGTCTATAATTTTTCAAAAATGAATATTTCAGTATCTATAAAGGTTCTCGCCTTCTTAATAACAAGAAGATTTCTGTCCAAAAACGTTATAGCACTGCAAACCTTCATAGCAGCGTATTTTAATATAAAAAATATTTATTCTTCTTACTTTTATTTAAATTGCTGATCAGAATTACCGAATTTTAAGATAAACAAATGCATTTAAAGAAATTATTTTTATTTAACAGGAATTGTATTAAAGTGTCATGATTACATAAACAATGTTTTCATTTATTTGCACCAATTTCAAGGTTTTAAAAATCATCAAGTTTTCATATACAGTGACTGGATTGACAGTGAGATAGATATTATCAAAAATTCATAATGTTCTTTTTTGCTAATTGAATGTCGTTTCAAATAGTGTTTCTTTAAATCTTCCCGCCTTTAAGCTAATCTGTTTTTCAATTTATAATATTGAGATAAAGATAAAGATAAAGATAAAGATAAAGATAAAGATAAAGATAAAGAACAAGTTGTGGAATATCAATTTAAAGGGACTGTAAACGTATTTGAAGCGAACCTCTATTACAGAGAGAGGCTTGTTCTATTCCCGACGGTCCTCTTAAAAGCTTTTCTAATCAAGAATGAGATATCCATGATTTCTCTTGGTTATTGACAGTTCCCAACTAGAAAACTAGAATGAGATATCCATGATTTCTCTTGGTTATTGACAGTCCCCAACTAGAAAAACGAACTTCAACATTACTAATCAGATAAAGGTTTGATGGGTACCGTTGTGAATCGTGAAAGACTGCTAAAATGGAGGGTTGATTGAAATTAAAAAGACAATCCCTTTAGTAATTTTATATATGCTTAACATTAATCAGATTTCACATATATGATTTGTATATCAAGGCGTTTAAATTCTACAAGTATGCAATCAATTAACAATGTTTTCAGGAAATGTTCTTTGCCAGGGGAATATTTCTTAAAGGGATGGTTCATATAATTTACAGAGTAATCTGAGAGGATTATTTAGTATTGATTTTTAAAATCGAAATTTTATGTTTGGTCGGTTTCAGATTATTTTGAAAAAGTTGTTAATTTTTATCTTTTTTCAGAAATATTCATATTTTTATACTTTTACTTTTAGCTTTAATTTCTGTTCATTGTTGCAAAATTTGGAACAGTAATGATTTTTATTTTCAACAGAATTAAAGGAATGGTAGCTTCACCTTTATCAAAATATGTAAAAAATCTCATTAATCATACGTGTGTCAGTTTTATCTTTATTTTATCAATCAGAACTGCACCTTGAAGATATTTAATCTGGTTGTAGATAATACAATATTAAGCTGACAGTTCAAGAAATCTTTCTTTTTCTAGAAAATATTTGACAATATAAAATGTTAGTTCTGTGAAAGGGGGTGGGGGGAATCTCTGTGCACAAAATCACCTCCGATTCATTCTTTAGATAACAAAAACAAAACTGTGATTTGATTCAAACATTTCACAAAATGAATAGAATACACATTTAGTTAAAATAATATACATTATACTTACATATATTATATATATATAGAGAGATATATTGAAAGATAGAGAATGGTCTGAAAGTCAACATTGATATATTATATCATTACTGTACGAGGAGCCCTCATCACTCATGACAGGATCAGGTTTAGTAGCTGACCCATTTATTTTGTTAGGGGTACAGTGGTCCACTACAACATCAACAAGTCCTGGAGTAACTGCAGCAACAGCGGGACCAGTTGCCACGCTCAATACCAATGGTAAACCACTAGCTACAGAACAGCTGACACTTAAAGTTCCGTTGCCGTTGGCACTACTTCCATTGACAGCGCTGCCATTACCGTTAGTGGTGATACCATTACCGATACTGGCACGATGATTGTTGTTGAACCCTGTTTGTTTCTCAGGTTGGGTTGGAGAGGATGGTGTAGTGGCTGGATAGGGAACAGTTAGAGCAGGTATACAGTTAGCAACTAAACAGTTAGGGCAGGTATACAGTTAGCAACGAAACAGTTAGGGCAGGTATATATTTAGCAACTAAACAGTTAGGGTAGATATATAGTTAGAAACTAAACAGTAAGGGCAAGTATACAGTTAGAAACTAAACAGTTAAGTCAGGTTTTATTAGAAACAGGTAGGGCAGGTATACAGTTAGCAACTAAACAGATAGGGCAGGTATACAGTTAGCAACTAAACAGATAGGGCAGGTATACAGTTAGCAACATAAAAAGGTAGGGCAGGTATACAGTTAGCAACATAAACAGTTAGGGCAGGTATAAAGTTAGCAACTAAACAGGTAGGGCAGGTATACAGTTAGCAACTAAACAGATAGGGCAGGTATACAGTTAGCAGCATAAAAAGGTAGAGCAGGTATACAGTTAGCAACATAAACAGTTAGGGCAGGTATATAGTTAGCAACTAAACAGATAGGGCAGGTATACAGTTAGCAACTAAACAGATAGGGCAGGTATACAGTTAGCAACTAAACAGATAGGGCAGGTATACAGTTAGCAACTAAACAGATAGGGCAGGATTAATTTACCTTGAAGAGGAGTTTGTCCTGTAACCATACCAAGTATTCCTACCCCTGGAACTCCAGGTAGGGTCGGAGCTACAGTATTCCCTAGAACTCCTAGACCTCCAAGCCCAACTAAACAATTAGAGTTGTTACATGATATGAATATACTGTGCTGGTGGTAACCAAGAACTGTTGTGTGTTGCCACCCCATTACATGAATTCGATAAGAATTCTAGCAATTCTGCCAGGTTTTCTTTTCTCACACTTGGTTAATTTATAAAATCAAAACTTTTCATCAGAAGGCTAATCAGCGAAGTTATAGTGAACCTTTATTTAAAGAGCAAGTGCCATAAGTAATCCACATTCCTAAATATGACTATATATTTAGGAAACATCGCGCTATCGTTTTTTATTTTTGTAGATTTAAATTGCACGGTTTTGACAAGATACAAAAAATATTTTTCTATTCAAAATAGAAAAACTTGTAGATAACTGTTTTTAGGGCATTGAACTGAAGCAAATTTCAAGTTGTGAAAGTCTTTCCATAAAATGTTGGTAGATATTACCCTTTAAATAGTTTAAAGAGCACAAATATTAACAATTTTTTGATAAATTTAATAAAAATATTTTACTACATGGCGCTTCACTAAACATGACGGTTCGGAGACATTTTAAAGATCGTCTTAAACTTTGATAGCGATCTAATTATTTAATAACGAAGTTTGTATGAAAAAAACTTACAAACTTATCATTATGTGGTTTCAATCTTAAAAGATTATAAACTTATGTTAAGACAAATTTTGTTTTACTCAATAGACCGAACTATGAACGAAATCTCAAATATTTCTAATTAATAATTTAAAAATCACAAAAAAGCAGACCACATTTAGGAAATACCAGGATTAGCAGTATTTAATGATTATTGTTTTATTAATAATTAGAGAAAACATTTTTAATAATCAAAGACGACTTTTAAGTCGTCTCTCATCTGTCATGTTTTGGTGACGAACATCCTGTATATGAATGCTTTAGCTTCTAATCAAATCTTTTATAACAATAAGAAAAAATACAAAAATAAATTATAACATTCTACTAATTATCTGAACTAAAACAATTTTAGAATTTATTGCCATGCAGTAGAACTGGACGTGCTTTGTTTGCTTAGAATAATTATTTTAAGCATATTCTTTACTTGTATTCATTTTTGTGTTTTATCAATTCTATTCTTACAGTTTCCCTTTCACATGATTACCAGTCCTTATTTGATTACCACGTCCTGAATATCTTCTCTAGAAAGGGAAATCATTATCTTTATATTGGTTTAAAGGAACTGGAATCGTAATTTCAAGTCTGTGGAAAGATGGCAATGTCCGATTTACGAAGGTACCCTCAAAAGCTTGATCTGATCAAGTATAAATAAGATATTCATTTTTTTGTTTCTTTAAACTGTTTGCATGCTAAAGTGACTGGGGCATTTCTTGCATATCAGAATCAATGGAGAAAGTTAGACACTTTTCGAGTTAGGAAAACGACTGGTACCGTTGTTCATCGGGCATTTGTCATCTTTGAAATTAAGCTTACAGTTCCTTTAAAGAGAGTGTTTACGGAAAATGAAAGGAAGAACTATAAACAAATTATTAATCAAATATACTTATTATCTCTGATTTATCATTTGTCCCAATTAATTTTTTTCAAACAGTCCCTTTTATATTTAATTTCCCTTTTTCACTTTGTCTTAATATTATCTTTCTTAATTTTTGTTACTATTTTTATTTATCGAAAAAATCTACATTAACATTATTTCAACTGTGTTTGAGAAGTGACAAAGTGGGCGGAGTGTGTATATATTTGATGAAACAACAGATCAATAAATATATATATATATACAGGCGGACTGCTGCCTGGAATAATAAAAAGGTTTGTTTTTATATAATCAGTAGAGATGCATAGAAATATCAATAGATTCATTGATTGGATCTCTTTGTATAAAAATCTTTGAATATTTATACATATTCAAGTGTATATGTAATAAATGCAGGCGGAACTGGAGAAAACTGTGGCGAACCTAACTAAGAAGATGACGGTGGTTTTTTCGTAAAGAGTTCCAACTGCGGACAGCTGGCAACTCTAGAAGAGAAGAAACAAAGTTCAGTGAATAAAAATAATGAATTAATAAACGTTTCCAATCTTTTAAATGTCCGTAAATATAAATCCAAGTTAACAGATAGTTTAAAGCCTCAGGGCAAGTTAGAAGTGAAAGAAAGTAGTTGGGAGGAGAAGATAATTACAAACTTGAACATTATGAAAAAGTCAGAAAAAGGCGTTACGGTTTAGCATTAGTTGATACAGGAGGAAATGTAGTAAAGGGTACGTTAGTATCCAAGAAATTCTGGAAAAGCATCAAAGGAAAAATGTGAGGAAGAAGCAATGTTCGTGTGGGTACAACAGAGTAAGGAGGAAAAGGACTTAAAGTATTAGGAACAGGGAACAGCGGCAAGAGTTCTAATTTGTAAACATTTCAGCATATTCGGATTACCAAACCAGATACACTGAGTTTATAAACAAGTTATGGAGAGAGTTATTCCTAGAGTTAAAGATATTACATACCAAAACCCTACCATACAACCCATCATTAAATATTGTTGAGAGATGGCATTTATAGCTAGTCTTCGTTGAAACATATGAGTTGAGATCATGCCCATTGGTTTGGCATTGATTGATTAAGAACTTGCGTCCGTGTTGACATTGACTGCTGGTCCTCGTTGAAACATATGAGCTATAGTTTTTGCCTGGATTGATACAGTTCTGGACGAAGTTTACTACATATATACCAAATCCAAATCAACAGTATGATTAAAGGAATTGAGTTTTTGCCACAAATTTTCTAATTCATTTTAATCTCACTAGAAGGGTATGGTTCATTTTATGTACTGTCACTGTTTAAAAGTCGGTCCAGCTCTTCAAATAAACCGGAGTTTTCAGTGCTTTGCATCCTGGTGGTGTTAACCTTTGATATTTCCAACTTACACTATTTGATATAACAGAATGTATACATCGGGATTCCAAAGATATAGGAAATAGAAAATCAACGTTTGCGGCAAAAACTCAAATCCTTTCCAGGATTAAAGTCTTCATTTAAGAGTTTTTTAGATTTATAAAAAAAGATTACAGTGCAAATGTACTGATAAAGATCAAAAGATCCAAAATGATTTGGAATAACATTTTTTTTAAATGGTTTAAAAAAATGTTCCATCGAACAAAATATTTCTATAATATACAAAACAATCCCTGGTCTGGTTCCAATATTGAAATTATGTAAACAGAACACGGAACCTAACCCTGTTACATTTTAAGCTTCCTTCCTACAAGGTTTTATATGTCCTCCTAGTTTTCATTAAAAAGTTTTAATGCAACCAACATCTGCCTGGTAAACATTGTTTTCATTATATGGAGGGAGGGAAGGAAAAGGGAAGGAAAAGGAAGGGAAGGGAAGGGAAGGGAAGGGAAGGGAGGAAAGAGGAGGGAATTGAAGGAGAGAATGATGCGGAAGGAAAAGAAGGGTAGAAAATTGTTAATGTTGAAGCATTATCATCAAAAGGCAAGGATCTACTTTGAAAAGCAATTTTCTTGGTTTATTAACACTAAGTGTTAGTTTGTTTGCAAGAAACAAACATCTACTGGGTTAAGTTTTGGTAGCCCTGGTTTAATTCCAGAGAATAAATAAATCTCAACAATGTAGAGGGGGGAGGGGGGGGGAGCCACATCAATCCTGCGTTCATGTCATATTTTCGTGTTTTCTTTTCCTAGCCATCTTTTATTATTTTTTATTTACTTGAAAATCTATGAGATATGCATGGCAACCATTAAAAAAAGGCAGCATTTCGACAGAAATGAATTTCATTTTGACTCTTTGAAAAAGTTTTGATGTGTTTCAGATACTTCAGATCTCGGATCAAGATGATTTTAGAAGATGAACGACAAAGTTGAGACGCATGATTTAATATGATTTTTAAAGCGTAACCAACACATTCTGGAATCCTTATCTTTTGCCAGAACGTGACCGGGCTTTTTATAATTATTATAAGCATAATATGTTCGCTATCTTTAATTGAGAAAATTGTAAAGAACTCTATTTATTGGTGATAAGTCTCCAAAAGAGAGGATCAAGTTTGGGAGCAAGTTTGATCTATCTTAGAACCTCCCCCCCTCCCCCCTGTTAAGAATTTAAAATGAGCAGAATGAATTATAATTTATTTTTTTACAAAAAATGTGTATTTTTTCCTGTTATGATATTGGATTATACTTGGGATTAGTATTACCCCAGTTCAGCTCTTTTATTGAAGTTTATAACTGTATCAAATTATAACATTATTTGAGTTTGGTAAACCTTGGAAATTGAGCAATTGGAACAAATGTTCCTATATGGTGTCTTTCCGTGAAAAGATTTTAAACTCCATGATGAATTTTTTAATATCTTTTAGAGGTAAAATAGCTTTATTGTTTTCCGAATCCCAAAAGTTAGTATAATATGGTATACCAGCTTTGCTTGGAGTTTACCAAAAAAAGTCAATATTCTTAACTTAGAATTCTTAAACCAGCCTAAAAACATTTCCGTGGTTCTATTGAGTTTCCCAATCAAAATTTGAGGCAAATCAGTCCAGGGGTTCATATATAGGATAAAAAGATATATGTATTTTCAAATAGGTGAACACTGAACACTGCGGGGCGGGGAGTGTCATGAATTTAAACATATATAGACAACGCAAATATATTTTGCACAATTCAAGGATTTATTTTGAATTATAAAGATATTAAATTTGTATTTTGTAAATTTTGTTACAAGCACTTTTTATCCCGAACAAATTATATATTCAAATTCGATCTAAAAAGTAAGATAAAAACATGATAGGTTTCATTTAATATTCATGGGGACATAGCAGGGTCAAGGTTGGAGGGGAAAGTAGGCGGGTCAAGATTGTGGCAGGTGGGAAGGAAAAGAAGGTGGGTCAAGATTGTGGTGGGTGTGAGGGGAACAAGGCGGGTCAAGATTTTGGATAGAAGGCGGGTCAAACTTGTGACGGGTGGAAGGGTAAAGCAGGCGGGTCAGGATTGTGTCGGGTGGAAGGGTAAAG